AATTTAGTACAGAATCACACGTCCATGATGAAGATAGGAAGCCTAACTATATGGTCAGGTTGTAGTACTGTACAGTGTCTGCAGACTGATTTCTCATTCAAAATTATAACATGGACACAACTGAAAGTCATCCAGAACATACAGTATAGTATATATCTGGCACTGTTTAAAGCCAAGACACTGTATTTACAAACAGTTCAGATTTTAAATTAATACTGGTACAGTTGCGGAAATGTGTTCCTACACCCCCTGTGGTAACCCGTGTCACCAGACAGCCAAACTATATGACCTACTGTATAGCAAACCTATCCACCAATCACGTCCATCATCACACGACCAATACCAACCCATTCATAAATAGTGATACAGTATACAGTTCTGTGACACTGATGTTTGGAGGCACGGGTTACCACAGGGGTGTGGGAACACATTTCCACAACTGACCAATTAAAAATTTGAGAAACTGGTTTAGATTCTTCAGTTTTGTCTACGTGTTTAAGGTCTCTGACTCTTATCTGAGTAAAATATGATGATATTGAGAATATTACTGACAATTATAGAAAACAGTACAATTTAGGGTAATACAAGATAAATATACAGTACAGTATTTATAAACGAACCATTTTGTAGAGCTACACCACTATGTAATCATTAAGTCACATTTTACTTCAAGCTTGGGTCACAATGAACTTTAATTAAATTTCTAGGTAACGTTTGTGGAGAAACAAAATAATTTTTTTATATTGTACGGACCAGAGTAGAATGGATCTACCTGTTTTGTGTGTCAGAATTATCTAGGGTTTTATCTGCACAAGCAGAACGTTTTAAGTCAAAACAGCCAAGCCCGAGCCTTTTGCCTATTAAAGGTGTACAGTATAGTACAGTATATTTACTGTGTTTTCTAGTTAGCTTGAAAATGAAATGGTCTTTAACTTCTTCTCCAAGACATGACAACAGATACAAGTAAGGTAAAGGAAAATAAGCGTGTAAACACTAGTGTGGAGAAACAATGCCTCAGGATGTTCCTTACATTACCAGGAGAAGTGTTTGGGTGTAAGATGTGTGTCAAATAATCAAATTCGCAATGCTAAATATGGTGACGTAAATCTGTCTCTGAAATATTTAATAATCCCTTGGTTTTCCTCACAGGTTTCAGTAGTGCCTCTATAAGATTACTGTATCTCACACAGTAAGGTTCCGCTTAACAAGTAATATGAGTTCCTGAAATAGTGCGCGTCAGGGGGAAATCTTGTTCAATGGAACACATTTTCCCATAGGATCCCAAGTAAAAAGCTGAAATACTTTCCAGCCCAAAATTTTTTTACCCAATATCAGCCCATAGTACAAACTTAGATGCTCTCCAGCCCAAAGAATTTCAATACTAAAACCTAACATAACAAAGAGTAAACATTGTTTTCATACACTGAACGGGGTACTTACCAGAACTGAAGACACACACTGCTTGTGTTGGCCCAGTGTTGATGGTTGAAGGTGTAGATGGTAAGTGGGTAGAGGGGACATCTTCCTCTCTCTCTCTCTCTCTCTCTCTGCATCTAAGGAATTAACAAGATTGTTAAATGTGCACACTGTTGATAACACTGACCCCAACGCTCTACAAACATCCCACACATTTACATCAGAGTCCAATCACCATAGACATCCATTCTGTCTTATTCATTACAGGGTATTAGGAGCACACTTTACAAGGCAGAGAACTGGTGATAAGCAGATGCAGCTACCGTAAGTTGTCTGGGCTCACTGGCTAGCCAGGTTGAGTTAGCTTGCCACTAACTTCATCCCAGAGTACACTGTAGAAAATGAATCTACAAGTTCACACACTTGGCTGGCTGTTTAAACAATAACAAAGCATGACTGGCCCAACAACATGAACAATAATGTGGGCTGCAGCACTCAAATTTTGCTCATTAAAACAAATAGAAGCGCATTCATCGTATTTTCATATCCTTAAACACTAGACCCGTTAAACCAAATTCTCATTCATTGACTATGGAATCTAAATATTTTCACAAATGGGATTCAGATTTAAGGAACTGAGTGCTAATAGAATCATCAAGCTGTAATACCTTAAAGAAATAACAACTTATGTAAGACAAACATCAACTATAGACTAAGGATAAGAGCACACATTATTTACTGTAGTGTTACAGTAGTTAAAGTATGGACTTATTGTACAGTTTTACACCTTTATAAGCTAAATCAGGCACAGAGGAAGTCCTACAATGGGAATTTTAAAATGTTTAATAATTCCAGTTACTAGTTATTGCCAAAGGTTTTTGCATATAAGAGTGCAATATAGAAGGCAACTTGTTGCATTGTTTTTGTATAAAAGTGGGAGCAATTTTATTTTTATACTATGAGATTTTTTGCAGTACAGTACGTATTATTCAGTACTTTGGAAATAATGATGGTTTTGTGTAATAGATACAACTACTGTAAACAAACACCCACATCTGTCTGTAAATGGTACAATAGACTGACACACAAAACTTCACATATCGTGTACGGAGCCGAGCGTCATCATATAAAGGGTGTGATCAGTTGTGGAAGAAGAAAGACGACACTATGTACAGTATGTTGTACCTGATGTACAGTCACAATTGTACAAAATTTTTTGAAGAATTTGTTGTCATAGTCTTTAATTTATTTATTAGACTTTAGGGTAGTTATGATGAATCACACCAAATGTCATCTATAAACTTTGTCCTTTATGCACGTACAGTACCTGGATGAACTGATGCATCAAGAATGTAAAAACATATAACAACTCATTGGGAAGGTCCCGTGATGTAGGTTGTGGTATTTTGGCATCATAATCTGTGCCATATGAAGGTTGGCTGATGCTTGGTAATAATGCCTAAGATAGTTGACATTAGAAGTTTTGGAAGAGAAATTATATGGGAAAAGAGAGAGGCTGCTGTAAAAGAGAGCAGGTAGCTACAACTTCTATGGTTGCCAAAAATGGGAACAAGGAGTTGAGACACAAATATGAGCAAGTTCAGAGTTTTGCTTTCAACTTTGTTAAAGTGAAAGATGTTTGTTGTGACACAAGAGTAGATCAACAAAAGATGTAACTGCAAATAAAGTTATTGTGGTAGGAAATGTTGAGTTTGACAAAGATGTGAATTGGAAACACGGATGTCTTTTACAGTTCTTAGTGAAAAATGTGAGATGTTTTGCAAAAAAAAAAAAAATGTTGCATGTAACAGTGTTACAGAAGGAATTGTGGAAGACTGTGGTGCAAAATCGAGCAAGCTTCAAGTACAGTATATCTTATAAGCTGTATCATAGAAGTGAGAAGCTTGCAAGGAACACTCCTGTACTAGGCTACTGAGGTGGGAGACAGTGATAGCAGTAAAAAATACATGAGAAAACATCTGGTAGAAGAAGCATACAAATGTAATATATCTGAATGATGGATGACAGTGTTGTATCATCAAGAAAATGTTCAAACTTGGTTTAATATGTACAAATTTCATTTGTGTGTATCATTTGTAAGTCTACAATTATATAAGCAAATAAATGAAGAGGAAACTCAAGTGGGTTTGTTTATAATTAACAATGATTTATATACATTGTAAGTGCAATTCTGTTTCCATGTCAGTCTTTATATCTTTTATGTTAAGTAAATATTTAACTACCAATTTACAACACAGGTACAGTACCTATTCAATATTGTGTCTGAGCCGCACTCCATGTACAGTAGATGGAAGGCGGCTGGCTCATAATGTCCAAGTGTTTGTCCCTCACTGTGCTCTTAACTGGGTGCATGTACAGCTTGTTGTTTGAACAATTAGAAAGTACACACTATTAACTCTTAATTTATTACCCTTAACTTAATTTATTATCCTTAAACTGCATTAAAAATTTCCTCGTCAGAAGTAGTTCAAACAAGTGTCTGTGTTAACCCATTTATGTACATCAGGAAAGAAGCTAATATGACAGATCTCAGCACTAAATTATAATGAGCTTGGAAAGTCATAATTTCAGGAAGTAGGTTGATGAAAAATTGACCCAGGAGATATTACTTTGTTAGATGGTGCCTGAAATGCCATCAAACTAAACTGACTATGATAATGTTAATTTTCTTAGTCAATAACAGTGATGTAGGCTAAATGAACCACTGAACTGAGCCTCCTGCACAGTAAATTGGTGCCCTTATTGGACCATTAGAAAAAAGTTATGGGAACCTTGCATCTTGTCTAAAATTTCCTCGGCTGAAGACTTGACCCTTTAGCCGCATTCGATGCACTTGCCATTCTGGCTACAGCCAGATGATTTTATTCAGTTTAGGGTGACCTCCCACTGCGAAAGGGTTAAACTTACAAGCTAAGCCACAAACAAGTCTTTAAAAACGCCATCAATTCATTTTTAAGATACTAGACATAACTTAATGACCCAAACCAACACAATCTCACGTATCCAAAAACTGTTGTATAAAACCCTATGACTACACATATGGAGTTATTAATCTAAATATATCATAATTTTTATGTTATTGTTTTACAGATGAGGGCAAAAAGAATTGTGTCCCGGTTAGTCAATTACATTAGGACAAATATCAAGATGAATGAGTGTGGCATCAACTGGGAGGCTCAAAATTAACTGTGATATATTTACAATATATTTTGTAATCATAATAAATTAATAACACTAGAATACATTGGTGACATTGAAAGTTTGGGGAATGTCACTCTTGACCCTGCCAAAGGTGGACAGGTCTTAAGAACAAATAAATCAATCTAAGCTAACACACTACACCATAACCTGTTCACTGTCCCGCCTGGTGTACAGAAGGCTAGACACAAGCAATAATTTATAACAATCTTGTCACTTAAAATAATTAATGTTTTGCAGTCATGTTTATCGTTGTCAGGAAACAATAGCTTTACAAGAACTAATAGAGGCCGTAGCTATTAAACCTACCTCTCTAAATAAAAGAAAACGTAAAGGTAACACACACGTCTCACCGACCAAGTCTTAACATGACAGAGAACGGTAGAGTCCACACACACGTCTAACTGACCACAAGATAAACATTTGTTATTTACCAGAGTCATACAGCACTTACTGAGACAACACGTGAAGTAATAGTTATACTTATTTCTAACAAACAATTAATGGGGAGAAGAAATGTTTTAAACTGCACAAAGGTTGAAGGAAGTTGAGTAAAATGGACGACGCTCCAGTTATCTATGGTCTGGAGGACTTTCAGGTATGTTATTAACGAACTGAACACAAAATATTAAAAACAAATATGATAGTAATTAAGAACACTTGTAGGACATAGTAAAACATCCATATATAGTAGATGAATATACGATAATGATAATTATTCTGGTGAAAATTTACTTCTCAGACTCGTTGGAAGGAACTGCCTAACAAGAAATGTGAATAAAATAAAACTTGTTTCTTACCTCATGAGTAGAAGGAACTGGCTGGAGGAATTGTAACTTCTCAATTGCTTTGACTTGTTTTTGTTGAAAATGTAAACGATGTGTGCCACTCAGACCCTCCATCTTAGAGTGCCATGTTCGCCTTCCTCCTCCTGTTGATAACGATAACAATAAAATGAAAATTTGACAGTAAAACTTCAGTTACCGTCATCCCTTTATTTAGATGCACAATCTATGTTTTTCTAACCTAACCCAACCAACCTAAACCAACTAACCTAACTTAACCTAACCACAGAACCTAGGAACTATATCTAACCTAAGCTAAATTCCCAAGATTCCCGAATGACCAATACTGAAATACTGTACCAAGTTGAGCCTAACCAACCAACTTAAACCTAAAATAATAAACTTCCATCCCCAGATTGGCAGGTCAGGTCAGGTAGTTATTTATAATAAAAATACTGTCTCTGCATGCACCAACGCCAAACTGTTCACTTTTATTTCCTATTGTTTTCTAGCTAATTCATCATTTTCTCCCCGTAATTGCTTCATCTCCTCCCACCAACCACCCCAATAAGGTAAGATGGCCAAAAAACAAACACGTTTTAGTCCGAGGAAGTGCAGTTGGTAGTTCTGCTGGTTTATCTTATCTACAATACTAAATCATTTACGTCGTTGTGGGAAAAAAGTCTACATTTGTTTAAGTATGAATCGCCATTAAGGTAATATTGCCGAACTAATAATACTTTAATTGCCATAAATCCTTTTAATTTTTTTGGTATATTATCAATGTTTTTATTATTAATACTATAATATTATTGTTACTGAGTATATAAATTAAGCTGCCGCTCCTGCCGGTTTTCATGTTGATTAAATGGAAATATTAATATCTAAGAATCACTATTTGTTTCTTGGCACCCACAAAAACAATTATTGGTGGCTTACTTGATAGCTTCCTGCATTGTGGAGAGGATGAAAACATTAGAAAATCCCAAACTAGGAAAGTTGCAGTTCCTTCAGCCATTTACTTTTATTCATGAAGTAAGAAACAAGTTTTTTCCTAAACAAAATTTCCCTAAAGTGGTTCTTTCCCGTGAGTCTGACATCAAAAGTAGTACTGTACTGGTACCCTATTAGTTAGGCAATACATACAGTGGAATCTCTATTTAACAGATTATTTGGAGAAGAAACTCTATTATACTAAGGGTCTGTCACGTGAAACCTCCATCTAATGAACTTTCAAGAGACGAAGATCCGATATGTCGAGAGTCCGCTAGATATGAAACTCCCATATCACGGATTATATGAAGAGAAATCCGTTATATGGAGGTTTTACTGTACACACAAAGCTAATACAGTAGTTCATACAGTGGTGATCGCCCTGTTTCACTATAAGACTCACATTTACCAGTTACAGTACTAGTGATCTTTTGTTCATCCATGCTTCTGTACTAAACCAGCAAGAAAATACTAATGTGATTAATAAGTGTTACATGTCTTCACTGTATCCTATAACTAACTACAGTATCACTTTACAGGCTCGGGCATTGGCCGCTCATGCTGCTGAAACAGAAAAAATTAATTTCCTTGTGGGAACTCAGTCTTTAAGAAGAGTTAATCAAGTAAGTAAACGTTTATATTAAAACTTTTCCCGACAGAAATTTTGATTTAGAAATTATGCCCAAAACCTGATGTCAATAACTCGTGATTCTCTTGCTCCCTTTATAAGTACATAATACTGTAGTTGTACTGTAATTATAACTATAATTCACTCTCTGCTGTACTGTACAACATTGTGAATGTCTCTAAATACAGAACTGTGCAACAAAGAGTAAATTGAAAACATCCAACCTCGGCAGATCTTGGAGAAAATTTCTCAGTCAGTGATGAAACTTTCTTGTTTCATTTTTGTCAGTCATATTACTGGTACAGTATCCTAAGTGTTTGAGCAGATGTTTTGTCAAGAAACGGTGATTTACATAGGAAAGGTTATTAGACTAAAATTCCTTCAACTGAATATTGATCCTGGGTGCTGCTTCCATAGTACATCTCTTGAGGATGATAGAAAATCATAAGCTTTTAATTTTCTCTATTTTAATTTTTTACTTTGACAGGTTCAACTCATTGAATTTGATGATGACACAAGTTTGGTAACTAAACAAACATTTGAACACCCTGCTGGGGAAGTATGGAGGATTGTTGCTGCTCCACAGAGTCCAGATCTAATTGCTACCGTCTATAATAACAGTGAGTACAGAACATAACGCATCTACAGTACCGTACAAATACTTTCTTTGATAAAAGGTTGTGAATGTAAATATAGCTATGTAAAATAATTAAGTGTGAAGCTGATGCCAGTTGAGTTGTCCAAAAAATGGGTTTAATAAAGCTGTAATATGACAAAGGCTAATACAGTGGTAACAGTTGTCACCTTAGGGACCTGTATTTGCTGTATTTGCTGGAGTTTAGTTAAGAGTTTTTCTTCCTGACACTTAACTTACTGGTGATCAGAGACAAAGATGACATCAATGGAAACTTCTTTATGCTTCAGGTGGCAGTGGATAGGTACCAGTTTTTATAATGATTTCATTGTTAGAAAGAAAATTTATTTATACTACTGCCATGATAAGGTAAATATTGTCTTGGGGATTCAGTGATGCTGAATATTATAGACCGCTCATCTTGGCCATAAAATAGTGTTTCACGAGCCAATCTTATATTTATTCTTAATCATCATATCAACAGCACAAGATTATTGTGGTGAATTTGGGGCAGCAATATGGAGACTCCCTCTTGAAGGATCCTCGTCTGGCGTGCTTGATGATACACGGTGAGGAGAGTCAACAGTCATTCGTTGTTTGTGTTCATACTGGAGTCATTGAGAGAGGATCACCGGCAGTCCAATAACTCTTCAATGGGTTATACTGTACTGACTTTTGATAATATTTTATGAACCTTTGTTGGTAAAGTTTACATTGTCTCGTCTTATTTTTGTAGGGATATTTTATGTTATTGTTTGTTTGTTTTGAAAATTCATTATATTTAGGCAACAGCTTAATACAATAGTTAATGCACTCGACTGAGGTAGTCCAAAAACTCTACCGTAGGCTGTCGTTATTTTGTCGGCCTCAGTTTGCCTTATCAGCTCCAACTCAATATTTCAAGTGATGACTTTCTGGGATCTCTTACCACTTACATGCTACTCCTTTCACTTATTGATTACTTTCCTGACATCTCTAAAAAGCTAAATCACTTACAAATTGCTATAAGTAACCGGAGAGTTGTCGTAAATTATGGAGGAGGTGGAGTAAAAAAATTCTGTTGTCTTTTAAATACAGTACTGTCATTACCATATTATATATATATATATATATATATATATATATATATATATATATATATATATATATATATATATGTGTGCTGCATCAAACTGACACACATGTTACATTTGTACAGTAAGGCCTCCACGTACTGGACCAGTCTCTCCATATAAACCATTAGACGGGGGGGGGGTGTGTTCTTGAGAAATTGTTCCCAGAAAATTCCGGCTTTGGGAACGATTTTCCGAGAAAATTTCAATTCCGGCTATTGGAGAGTTCCAGGTTTGAGGGATTCTGGCTAACGGAGATATTACTGTACTGTACAGTAGTAGTCTGTTTAATAGAGGTTTCACTGTAATGGATAATGACATCTTTTCCACCCCCCAAAATATCATAAATAAAAATAAAGCCAATTTTTTACTATCTGTATATTTAATTCAAAATATTATAAATAAAGCTGTTGTAAATCAAAGGATACCTGTACCTTTAAGACTACTGTACTATACTTTATGTACTGTATTTAAAAAGTTTAGATTTTCATCTTTTACAAGACGATAACATTAAGGAAAATCGTAGTTTTATGTATAAATATTAAATTACTGTAGTATTTACTTAATGGAACTTCCTGGAATATTAAAACACTTCAGTAATGTTATGTTCGACAGGACCGGCGGTGAACAAGTAGAAAAATTATGCAGTTTGGACGGGACCTGTAGAGGCGACCCCCAGATCCCCGGTTCTCCCGTCCACGGGCTGGGCTCTCAGGCGTGGTCGGTTGTGTGGGCGCCCGAGTATGATTCACGTCTGGTCACACTAGTCGACAATCGGCTCTATTACTGGGACATTGAAGCTGCAGGGAAGTCAGCCAAGGTGAGACTTATTTTCATATTTTTTTCCGTAAGTAATGATGAAACTATGTGAAAATAATGAACTTTTTTTTTTACTACCCCCATGTTTCCTTATTTTCCTAACCTATATCATTATTCTTCAACACTTGTAATGTTTTAGTTTCCAAATAAGCTTTCAGTGTGTTATTGTTCTCTTACAGTCACCATAAAATGAGAGCAAAAATGAGTGAACTGATCATGAACAATTAGGATCAATAAAAATAGAAAACCAAGATTAACGTAACTGTAAATTACTTGGAAATCTTATATACAAATGTAGTAATTTGTTTTATAGGATTATAGTGAAACACAGACGTCTCTCTCCATGTAATCCGTTCGATGGGGTTTTAAAATATAACGGACCTTAATCTCTATATAATTGGTTAGATGGAGGTTTCACGTATAACAGGTCCACGATATAACGGACTTTCCTCTCCATATAATCCGTTAAATACTGTAGAGGTCTCACTGTAATGCAGATAATAGGAGAAGTTACTGTGGAAGGCCGAGGGAGTGTGAGTCTGGGGACTGGGCGCTGGTATCCCCATCAGCTTGGCTCACAAGTTGCTGCCACTCATGGGTCTAATGTACGAGCCTGGGATGTTCGCACCATGAAGCCATCTTGGTGTGTTGAGGGAGCACACACACAGCTTGTAAGGTCAGTCAAGTATTCTGTTCACCGTGTAATTTAATTTCAACGATTCTTTACGGTTATGTTCTCTTGTATATTCACGCCTGCCGACTTAAATGTGATTCACTATGCAAGTACTGAAGGCACATTACACATCTAAGAATGGTGGAGCTGGGCACACGTTTTTCCACAACAAGAAATCATCCATTATCTGCTGCAACCCATTGCCAGTTCAATTATACTTAGTACTGCTGCAGTTGTACAAACATTACTATGAGGATGTCACCGAGGCATCTATGGTACAGTATATAAGTATTTTTAAAAAACTTATGTTTTTAAAATATTAAATGTTGGCATTTATTTGCCAACAGATAGTTGATTTATTTATCAACAAGATGTACAGTATGTGATATTTCAGCCCCAGTACTGTAGTACATTATTAACTGAGCCAGTTGCCTGATCGTCCAATTTCTCATTTACTTTCATTTAATATGTGGAAATTTGTATAAGAAAATTATTCTACCTTCTTAAATTTCATTGCTTTACCTTACAGAGATCTGGACTTTAACCCCAACATGCAGTACTACCTCTCCACATGTGGGGATGATTGTAAGACCAAGTTCTGGGATATTAGAAACACTCATCAGCCTCTCAAAGAACTTGGCGACCACTCACACTGGTAAGTTATACATGTTAACCCCTTCACTGAGGGGATCCCGTACACAGCAGGTTAGTACACTGACCCCTTCACTATGGGTACGTCACTTTTAATATTTTATTTGGCTGACATAAGATGATTTTATTGAGTGCCGAGGGGACCCTGTATACTGTTCAAGAGGTTAATGAATCTGTCTAAATCATCAAATACGAAAAGGCAAACTAATGGGTTACTTTTTGTCGTGGCCTTTGTAATAATAAAAGTGTTGGTCTTGTAGCAGTTCTGTATACAGGGTAGTTGCTAAAATTGATAAAAGCTTTTTTGTTATTATTAGAATAGAATAACTACCTGTACTTCATAGTGTCAGAAGACCAGGTCATGTCTCTTGTCTGAATTAAATTAAAGTTCAAACAGGCTGAATTCCTCACTCTCCTCACCGTTTTTTTTAGCCCTTTATATAACACCTTTCACACAAGATACAGTACTCTTAGACCCCAAACTTTCCCACTTCATTACTTCACCTAATACCCTGTTTAATGCCTTCTCTAAGTTTACAAATACAAAGTATAGTAGAACTTTCTCTCCTTCCCAAGGTGAGTGATAAACTTGGTAATGAATCTGTGCATTTTGAATTGATACTTGTTCCTTAATGCATTGGTGACATCCTAGCAGAATAACATCAACAAGAGTAAATTAAATAGAGTATTTACGTAGTTGAAAACTCTGACTTACTACAGTGTGTACTGATAGATGGACTCTTGTCCTATGTTTTAGAACTTTTATTTTCATCTTAACATCTACCATAATTTATATATTTTTGTAAGTCACAGTCCATCAACAGATTAATGGGAGACAGAACTGTACTGTAGGTTATTGTTGGCCCAATACTGTATAATATATTATTTAAATACATTACTTTTTTTCAATAATTCTTCTCTAAACTGTGATGAAAACTGACTTTTTCTTGTTTCTGATTGAAACAAAATAGATTAAGCTTAGAGTAATTATCTAATCTGGTATATCATGAGTGTAATCCTATTCTTGCCATAAATAGTAACCATCTTCATAATGGAGTGTTAGTTCACAATTCATGTCTACATACTTTATAGTGAAATCTCTATTTAATGGACTATATAAAGAGGAAAGTCCATTATATCAAGGGTGCATTACATGTGAAACCTCCATATAATGAATTATATAGAGATGAAAGTGCATTATATGGAAGCTTTACTATATAAAATTAAACTGTTTCTCTTTCCAGGGTCTGGAGCGTCCGATACAACGCTTCCTACGACCAACTGGTACTGACCTGCTCTAGTGACCAGAGAGTTATTCTATCTAACTTACCATCCATTGCCTCTCAGCCTTTTGGTACTATGGTGGATCAGGAAGAAAGCAGCAAAGAAGAGAGGGAAAAGTAAGTACTGTACTGTTTCATTGATGGTATATACAGGTACAATTGCCTCAACATCCCGATTCTTGTCTAAGTATTGAATAATTAGGTCTCTAAGCGCTCTAATGCTGGCGTGACACCTCCCGCTCAGCCATATCTCACACAGAGCACCCTTCCCATAAGCAGAAATAAGGCAACAGTGAACCAGCCCTATCAACCACCTAAGTTCCTCCCATTAGCCTCTTGGGCTGCCAGATGCATCTGGGTCTGGATCACTCTACCCAGTGTTTACTAAATGAATAAACTGTTTCTGTTACCGATGCTAATTGCATTGAAAGGCTGCGAGGGGTTGAGATTTCGGAGCATGGCCAGGAGTACCAGAGGGTTAACTAATACAGTATTCCTTAAGAGAACAAATGGTTGATCAAAGAGGGTGAATGTAGACCTACACACAGTACAACACACTACTGTACAACATATATACTGTACTGTGCTGGTACAAGTAAATGTGTGTACAGTACAGTATTTAGTGATCATTACCTCAGAATGAAATGTAGGAAAACTCAAACTTTACTCCTATTTATGAGAGATTATATGAAAGTTACTCTGGCAGGTCTGACAGGATCCAAATTTTTTAGAAGTATGAAACTATGAAGGCATTACTATTCTATATTTACAAACTCCCTTTTTATGATGTATGTTACAGGAGTGAGGGGACAGAGGAAGGAGTTATCCAGATCTATGATGACCATGAAGACTCTGTGTATGCTGTTGAATGGTCCGCTGCAGACTTCTGGACCTTTGCCTCTCTTAGCTATGATGGCCGCCTTGTGATAAACAAAGTACCGCGAAGTGTTAAATATAAGCAATTCATGTAAGTTCCTAATAATAAATGGTGTAAGGTTTCAAATATAAAAGATGTATATTGTATATTTATCTAATGGTTAATATCGCGGTAGGTCCTGTATTTTAGGTTTAACCGGTCAAATCAATGACTAATGCAAAATAGGTACAGTACTGTATATCAAGTGATGCTTTCAGGTTTATTTGACTTTCCGTATCATAACAAGGAATATGTAAAGTGAATAGTACAGTACTGTATATATTATTATTGTTATATGTTTTATGAAACCATATTGCATGAGAATTAATATGTATTTGATTGTTATTTGGTATACTATATTAGGAGCAGGTTATGGTATGTGTTTCCACTCTGTAATTGTGGGTTGGTGATAGGAAGGGCATCCAGCCTTCAAACTTAGGCACAGTATTTCACATATGCCTGATGGTAGCCGGGACACCATGCCATCAGATAAAACACAACTAAACCAAGGAAGTGTAGAAAATAGCCATAAAACAACAATAATGATGATGAGCAACTTTTCTTTCTTCTACCAAATCCATCGATGGGAAATACTGTGAGCAGTTCTGTTCTTTATGTTGAATAATTTACCTTGTTATGACAGTGAAAGAGTTTGTGTTTAGCCTTCACTCCAGCCACTTTACAATACTGTATAGTGAAAGATTGCTTAAAAGATTGAAAGACTTATAAAATGTATTTGTCTGTACATCTTGGTAAATAAATGCTGAATATCCTTTTGATTTTTCATTACTTTAAAAGTTCATAAGGATTGAAAATTACTTATGCATGCAGTCCTTCCCTAAATGCCTCAAATAAAAAGGTATAATTCGCCTTATAGAATCTTATTGTAAGATTCCTTAATACCTAAATACCGAGTTAGATAAGAATCATGGAACACGACTCAATATTTCTGTTTATGATACAATTAAGAATCACAATTTACTACAACACTTTTATGATTCAGTAAAGGATTAGAACCTGGTACAAAACTTTACCCTCATGTACAGACCTACTTTATCATTAACTCTAACCTCCATATAACAGACGTCTCGCTACAGTATATAGAATCCTTCAGATGGAGGTTTCACATATAACAGACCCTCGATATAATGGACTTTCTTCTCCATATATATAATCTGTTAAATAAAGATTTCACTGTATATATATTCTGTAAGCTGTATCCTATATGACACTGGTTTTATATTGGTTTTTCTTCACTCAACAACTTACAAAACTCTGAATCAGATAAGTTAAATGTTTTATCAAGTAACACAGACCAGTACAGTACTCTTAACTGGAGTGCATTTACATCAGGCTAAACATTAGACTCATCACATAAAATACTCTCTTGGTTCTATTAAATGTCTAAAAGGATTAAGTTCAACCCAATCGAATCCAACCTAAACTAACACAATCAAATCCAACAAAACCCAACTCAACTCAACCCAACCCATCCCATCCCATCCCAATCCAACCCAAACCAACATAACCCAACCAAACCTAACCTAACCAAAAAGGACTGAAAACGAGCAAGAATCAAATGAACCTAACCTAACCTAACCCAATAATTCTATTTCTTCTCGGCCCCTTTCCTTCCTTCCCCTTCCTCGCCTCTATTTTTAACGTTGCCTTCCACCCTCGTTGAAGTAGTCAATGTGTCAATAATCTTTACCAGGCTCTTGGGTTGGGAAGTGTTGTACCAGGCTCTTGGGTTGGGAAGTGTTGTACCAGGCTCTTGGGTTGGGAAGTGTTGTACCAGGCTCTTGGGTTGGGAAGTGTTGTACCAGGCTCATGGGTTGGGAAGTGTTGTACCAGGCTCATGGGTTGGGAAGTGTTGTACCAGGCTCTTGGGTTGGGAAGTGTTGTACCAGGCTCATGGGTTGGGAAGTGTTGTACCAGGCTCTTGGGCTCTTTGGGAAGTGTTGTACCAGGCTCATGGGTTGAAGTGTTGTACCAGCTCATGGGTTGGGAAGTGTTGTACCAGGCTCATGGGTTTGAAGGCTCATGGGTTGGAAGTGTTGTACCAGGCTCTTGGGTTGGGAAGTGTTGTACCAGGCTCTTGGGTTGGGAAGTGTTGTACCAGGCTCATGGGTTGGGAAGTGTTGTACCAGGCTCATGGGTTGGGAAGTGTTGCTCTCACATGGAAGCAATTTCTGCCTATCCTCGCTGCTCTTAAAGAACGGCTTCAGAGGAAAACAACTTTAATATATAATACTGTATCATCTGGGTTAAGGGTCTGTAATTATAATGAACAGCCACTGTGCATATGACTCCCGATTAATCATTGTAAAAATAAAAATGACAATATAACATAATATAAATCTTAGATATATTATTGTATTTATATTTAGAAACCACGAGTTCTAATGTTACACAGATTTACATAATAGATCCTTATTGACCAATATGTATTTTGAGCAAACCCCCCCCCCCCCCCACACAGTCTAAAATAGAGGAAATTAGATTTTAAAACTCTGGTTCTTCCACACCACAGAGTCGGCCTCACCTAAATTTTTACTATTTGTTAAATTTCCTGCTTCATCCTTGAGGTCGATAAAACCAACAGACAAAAAAAAAACTTGTTCTTTAAAGGGAAGAAGAATAGTGGCCAATATAGAGCTAAAAAGAACGAGAGATAAAGCTATGATAGATAGAGGGAGAGACAAATAGGTAAAAAACTACTGTACAGTATATGCATGTCTCTCTCTCTCATCATAAGCACAATAATCAAGGTGAATTTCTACACTCGATAAAACGATATAAACAAAATATTAATAACTTATAAATTTAAACACCAAGACATTATCTTCTTATGAGACACAAAGGATTAATTTGCTTTATAAAGTTGCTGATACAATATTCAACTCTGCACAAGATTTAACCAATGGATTTGATTTGTCACCTTCTATTGTTTACAAAGTCAATTCCTATCATTCTTTTTCGGGGTGGGGATTCTTCATGTGATCCAAAACTAATGGATTACCGCCACGTAAGTAACCTAAGACAATAAAGATCATAGTAAAGTAACAAGAACAGACTAACCACCCGAACTGCTAGCACGGTGATAAGTGGTGAAAATAGAGCCTGAACGACTGTAAGTTAAGTGGTGAAAATAGAGCCTGAACGACTAGTAAGTTGATAAGTGGTGAAAATAGAGCCTGAACGACTAGTAAGTTGATAGTGGTGAAAATAGCGCCTGAACGACTGTAAGTTGATAGTGGTGAAAATAGAGCCTGAACGACTAGTAAGTTGATAAGTGGTGAAAATAGAGCCTGAACGACTAGTAAGCTGATAAGTGGTGAAAATAGAGCCTGAACGACTAGTAAGTTGATAGTGGTGAAAATAGCGCCTGAACGACTAGTAAGTTGATAGTGGTGAAAATAGAGCCTGAACGACTAGTAAGTTGATAAGTGGTGAAAATAGAGCCTGAGCGACTGTAAGTTAAGTGGTGAAAATAGATAATTTCTAACCAAGACCACACAACACTGGCCCTCCTACTCCTTCAGGTTTATCAATACCTGTGGGCGTCAAGACCTTATTGTTGAATACCGATATAACCCACCACAAGCGATAGTGACGTCATATCCAGTCATAGATCGTAAACAAACGCCCATTGTTCTGTTTCCCTCTCATTCTCTCTTTTCCCTCTCTCTCTCAGTATATTTACACCTCTCTTTACCTCTCCATTTCTCTTCCATTTTCCCCTCCCCACCCACCTCCCCCACCCTCTCACCCCATTCGTCCCCTCTCTCCACCCCCACTCGCCCCTCTCTCCACCCCCACTCGCCCCTCTCCGCCTCCGGTTGTCATCGTATCGGCGCCTATAATGTGTCTGGCACGGAGAGGCCCAGCAGGATGGGATCATGGCTTAGTTCATACTGGAGGCCGAGGGTAAACGTGCTGAGATAACTGAGGAGATGAGAGGGGAAGAGAGAGGTGGAGAGGGAGGAAGAGAGGTGGAGGAAAGGTGGAGAGGGAGAGATGGAGAAAGGGAAAGAGAGAGGTGGAGAGGGAGAGAAAGAGGTAGAGAGGGAGTTGACAATGGCCACAGGACACCATTATGGCCACAAGACACCATTATGGCCACAGGACACCATTATGGCCACAAGACACCATTATGGCCACAGGACACCATTATGGCCACAAGACACCATTATGGCCACAGGACACCATTATACACAGATTATGGCCACATGACACTATTATACTACAAGACACCACATACACAAGACACCACATACAAAGACACATATACAGGACACCATTATGGCCACAGGACACCATTATGGCCACAGGACACCATTATGGCCACAGGACACCCTTATGGCCACTTATCAGTCAGACTCCAGGAGCATCACCATGAATACTGATCACCAACACCACAAAGGCTATTTTACTTGGCCACTCACTTAAACTTTGCTCATAAGAGACATCGGAGCGGTGGTGGTGGTGGTGGTAGTGGTGGTAGTGGTGGTGATGGTGGTGATGATGGTGGTAGTGGTGGTGGTGGTGGTGGTGGTGATGATGGTGGTGGTGGTGGTGGTAGTGGTGGTGGATAGTGTGGTGGTGGTAGTGGTGGTGGTAGTGGTGGTGATGGTGGTAATGGTAGAGGTGGTGCTAGTAGTAGTGGTGGTAGTGGTGGTGATGGTGGTAATGGTAGAGGTGGTGCTAGTAGTAGTGGTGATGGTAGACGATCTTTTATGAGTTGTCAGAGCCATCGTTCCTCAGCACAGTATAATGAAATGGTTGGCGGCGACCCACAGCCAGTCCGCTATGCCAGGAATGTTTTGCTGCGGGGGAGATGAAAAGGAGGAGGACTTCCACGTCTTTCTCACAAGTTTTTTTTCTCCATATTTGTCTTCAGTTTTCCCTTCTTTCTTTATACTACTTTTTCGTACTTTCGCTAGATTACTTTTTCCCCCATTTTGTGTTCAGTTTTTCCCCTTTTTTCCATTACATTTTCCTTTTTATCTCTCAACTATCCTTTTCCCCTTTTTTCCTATAACATTTTTCTTTATATACTTAATTAATTTTTTTCTTCGTATCTAATTGTAACTTCTCTCTCTGTTGGGTGAGAGAAGTTCAGGGTAAACTAAGGAATGATGTGAAGACTTAATAAAAATACATATTAATATTGATACACTATGACGATAGAAGTTCACCTATATCTCAGTTTGTTCCATAGTTCCATAGTTATTTTGTGCTAAGGTACATCCTACTTTGTACCGTAGTTATATAGCATAGTGTACCACAATTATATCCCATTTTGTACCATAGCCGTACCTCACTTGGAAACAGAGCTATACTTCACGTTGTATGAGCTATACTACTCTTTATCATTAGCTATACCTCGCTATACAAATAACACCACTTTGTATTGCAGGTAAAGCTAATATAATACCATAGCGTCAATTTGCATCAGAGCAATAATACTGTACGTACTAATTTACGCATAACAAATATATATGGCAACTTCACTAGCTCTAGGGGAAGATAAAATAATTATCTATAGTAGTAAACAATTTGGTTCATTCAGAAAATATCCCTTTAGTGTGAAGGTGTGCCGTTAAATCATATTCTTTATACACATCATCCCATCTCTCCCCCTCGGCGCCATACGACTTCCCAAAGGCCGATATTGGAAACTTCGTCCCACATAAAAAAGTGTTGGCTTCGACACTAATTGGCTTTCTACCTTTCATATATCCTGGCTTTGACCTAACCCGCATCCTCG